GTTCCTTTCCCGTATAAATGTGTTGATTCTGTTTCACTGCGACCTTTCGTTACTGAGCTGCGAGCCGCATGTGGTCAAGCGTTTCCGTCGAATTTCGCTCCACGTGTTTAGCCAACGGCGCACGTGTGCACGTACCGACGGCGCCCGGCCGGTCGGATGTCGTCCGACCCTGCTGTGTTTGCCGCGCACGACATTTCACACAAAAACCTGTGACTGGTTTGGAGGTGTGAAGGCTATGAGCTGTGAGCTGCTACAAGCTATGCGATTTGAACCAGTGAACCATTTGAACAAAAAAAACATTGAACATTTGAACCAAAAAAAAACATTGAACATTTGAACCAAAAAAAAACATTGAACATTTGAACCAAAAAAAGGTTACGAGCTATGAACTATTTTAAGTTATGAGCTTTGAGCAATTACAAATTTAGATAAAACGACCTCATCGATAAAGAAGACGATTTGGGGTGGGGTGGGGGGGGGGGGGGGATCATGTACAAGATATTATGTGAAGCCAGATATATCCTTTTATCTGCACATGACTCAGATCTGACAGCAATGTACCCAATATCTGACAGTCGAACGCTTGTTGGCCGTTACACAATTTAGCGTGCGGTTAAACAAGAGGAAATCATTGGCGAGTGTTAGCAACAACATTCTGATGCTGAAATACGCCGATCGAAATGTTTTATAGGTATGTTTTATCGCAGTAAACTAGACTATGAGACTTAACTAGGCATGCTCCAGCTCGTTCCATATGCTTACTGGTAGCGCGTAATGATATGCTGACAATCGATTACTAATTGGAAAATTGTTATGATTTTCTAGCCTTTTACCAGAGCCCTGAAGAAGTCTCACGTGAATTCAGAATCAACAGGAGGAGGATTTATAATCCCAAAACAGAGCACCACAAATGATTTTAGGTTAGTGAACTATGATGAACTTTTGATGTAGGCATGCCATTTATAAGTCAAGGAGCGACACCACCAGGTGGGAGGTGAATTAATCCAGCGAACTACACATAGAAGGCCACGTATAACCAACAGTCAGAATTAAGGTACGTCTTAGGTCAATACCCGTGATGACCTTAAAATATTACCTGCAGGGAGCGCATATCAGATATGACAATATCAGGCATAACTATCCGACATGAAAGCGAAAACGAAGTAGTTCGTCGGAAATATGTAATCGCTTATCTTCAGCAACGAACAGGCCCAAAACACAACAAAACACATGCTGGTGGGATCTGAGTGCGGTGCTTGAGGACAGACCCCTAGACGTTCGGTTATGATGCAGAGGAACTTGTTCGCACTTGCTAACTCCCCACCGCTCATTTCGGGCAGGTGGCGCGGCACTTCTACGACACCGAGATGAAGATCGAGCTGGTGCGCGAAGACTCCTTCATGGACTCGTTCCACGTGACGTTTCAGCTGACGTTCGACAACCAAGCTTACCGCGAGGCGCACTCGTTCCAGCTGGTGCGGGACGAGCAGAGCCTGCCCATCAGAGCCAGCATCATCTCGAGCTGTTTCCATTCTCCATTGCCTTCACGTGAGATGACACTACTGTTACCCGATCGGCTTGTAATAACTGCGAAGCCGCATGTCCCATCGCTGTGATGTCAGCAAGCTCAGCGGAGACCGTGAGCGACATTGTCCCTTACAGAAACGTCTTCAAATTAAGTTCGTCACATTCTTTCGGATTTTATCCCCCTCCCAGTCGGCGCTGCCTCCCTCCAGGGCGGTGTTTTGGATCTGCCCGTGGTGGCAGAGCCGCAAGCATTTTCCGGTCAGGAGCCCTCGCAGCGGCAAAGGAGGCAGCTGGACAGCCGGAGACCGCGGAGAGCCGGCCAGAGCCGCTCTGGCCTGGTTCTTTTGTCCCCGCTCCCCCCCCCCCCCCCCGACTGTGCTCGGATGACAAAAGATTGCCCCACTGCGGCCGTCACGGACACCCAGCCGGCTATCGGTATTGCACGGGACGCGCGCCGGAGCGATTGTACCGGACATGGGCCCTCGTTTCCAGGACTCACACCCGTCACGGCTGGTCGCGAATATTGTGATAATAATGAAAAGAAACTCCTACATCGGCTTACCGCGAATCCGCGACCACCTGGGAATAAAAGAAGCTTCTTGCCCTGGATTTGTGGAATAGCTTCCGAACCGCGCTGGGCTGGTCCGCCAAATAGCCGGTGCCAGACAGGTGCTCAATTTCACTCGGTCTGGGTGAACACCCGTGATATAAGGTCAGGTCACTGAGTTTTGACGTCATCAACGAGGGTTTACGGAGCGGTTTTGGCCTCCTCAGGCACAAGTTCACCCTTTGTTTTCTTGTTCTTCATCGCTTCGACGTAATTCATCTACTAGTTGGACTGTCGCATCTGAAACGGCTCGCATGGTGTGTACCTCAAAAACCGCATGTCACCAGGTCACCACCAGAGCTCAAATCAGGTCCCCATCAGCGGTCACGGGAGGCTAACTTCAAAGTGTGGAGCCAATGTGGTGTGTTACGTCTGTTTGTGATAAATTAGTCCGATGACGCATTGCAGCCGATACATTTCCAAACCGGTCACTATGAGACAGTATATCAACCGGGAAAAATAAAGATGACCTGATTATTACCTGGTATGAACTATACGTGACTTGACCGAGACCCTAGTTAAATCGTGGTATGGTTCTGAGGCACCAGATTACGCTTGTTCGATTGCTGTTTATTGTAATGTTATACAGGCCATATCAATTTGTTGTAACATATATATATATATATATGTATATATATATATATATATATATATATATATATATAATATATATATATATATATATATATATATGTATGTTATATATATGTTATATATATGTATGTGTGTTATATATATGTTATATATATATGTTTTGGTTATTGTTATGTTTATTGTTTATGTTATATATATATATATATATATATATATATATATATATATATATATATATATATATATATATATTGCGCGATAAAAAGTTGGCCTGGTGTAAATACTGCGTTTTAGCCTTTAATCGTATATTCCGCGCTAATTCACCTACGAAGTCGTGGTTGTATATAGTGAAATGAGTTTCATGTATTCAGACAATTTAAAGTGAACATCTTTGTTGAGGTGTGACCAATGCAAGAGAGCGCTATTGATGCATGAAATCTGTCAGTGGCTTAAGATTTTCCAAAGTCCCACGGTTTGGGCTCAACTTGCTTCCGTTAAGTCCTTCAGTGTTGGCTAAGATGTCGGTGCATGACCAGTCCATGCAAGGAGCACTGATAATTTTGTGGTTCATCATTAGCACATCATGTAAGACATGGCACATTCTATCTGCTCAACGTGTCGTTTGCTCTGATGGGTAATTATTTTGATTTTGTGGCTCCTTTGCCTTGGATATTTTCAGAACGATTCCTGGAGAGAGGCACAAGCTCAGATCAAACAGCATGAGGTTTGCGGTAGAATAAAGTATGATTAGATTTTTAAGTAGTGTGTTTAACTCGTTCAGCTTGTGATGCAACGAGTTAGTAGTGACTAACCCGTTGGAACTTGTGATGAATTGCATTGATGGAATGCAATTCATCGAATGATTTCACTGATTCAGCGGCTGTTTGCGGCTGTTTGACTGATATTGATTAGTTTCACAAGGCTCTTTTGGGAGGTCCAGCGCAATACGTGGCACTTGTGACCGTGTGATTCGTCTGTTGTATAGGCAGCAGCTGCCCAGGAGCGCTTATTAAACTTAGATCATCAGTTTTATGTCCGGAATCCCAAGACGTCCGAGCTTAACTGGAAAGATGCTAGCTGGAAAGATGCCAACGGGTTCAGCAGAAGTCCCATTAGTCCGAATGCCCAGCTGAGCATAACTTGTATCAGCGGACGCTCGGTCTCCTGCCAAGCTTTAGTGGCGTGCGGATATCCACAAAAAAAACATGGGATGACGAGACCTGCTCCTTAAAGGCAATGGTTTCTATGCATCACCATAGGGCGCCAATATCAAGTTTAAGCAAAAGGCCGGTGGGCATTGTCCGCTAAGACTCGCCTGGTGCCTGAGCGTGCGCGAGTGCTCATGTCTCTATGCGAGCCACTCCTACCGGTTCGGGAATCAAATTCTCCCTGTTTTCTCCGCCGCCGCCATCTTACGTTCTTCGTGGCTTTGGCGATTGCGGTCACTGTTTCAGTCCATCGGATGGCGTACGGCAGTTATCCCGAGCATGACCTCGTGGCTCAGTCAATGGCAACTCATGCTGTTTGACCCCAGGACCTTTAAAAACGTGACCTTGCCCGTTACTCGAGTTGCCGCCCTGGCATAACACTGCTTCACTTCGCTGTGACATCTAGGACACGCTGCCGTCTGCTGTTCGCGTGCCTGGTGACGACCCTGTTTGCGGTGTTTCCCAGTCTGACCCGGCGGTGACCTGGCATCCCTGACCCCACAGGGCTGACCTGACGGTGCGAAACCTCGGCCAGTCGATTCTCACCATCCTGCCGGACCTGCTGGGAAAGCGGCTCAACGACTGGTTCGACCTGGTCCGCCCCCTGGTCGAGTTCCGCTTCGCATCCGTAAGATGGCGCACGAGTCGGGGAAGTGCACGAATCGGGTGGAGGGGGGGGGGGGGGGGGGGGGGGGGGGGGGGGGGGGGGGGGGGCTGCACACGCACACGACTGGGGACCGTCGTCGGCCAAATATCCCGTACTTTTCTTATCGCAGGTACTCCTTAATGTTGAAACTTGGCATATTCGGCGTTGTCTGGAAACAGTTGGCTTACGCTATAATGCTCCTCCTCCCCCCTCCATTTGTGGAAGCTTCACATCTACCCAGGGCGGCACTTTGGTTTCACTTCACCGACCCAGCGGCCCAGACCAGAGATAACGGTTTCGTTTGAAAGTGAGTGCAGACATGGCGGGCTGGAGACACTTCGTCACCGGCTCGATTATCGTCTGATATACCGCATGTCTTCGGCGTAGGGGATAGCCCGTCCCACCACAAATGGCATCAGCGCGCTGCGTGGCACAAAAGCGATGCGGAGTGCCGGGTACGGAGTACGGAGTATTTGTGCCTAATTGGTTTCGTGCCTTGGTTTTAAGCATATCCTGAGAACCTGTTGCACTGCGCGCCCACATGCGTTTGATTCTGCGCGTCAGTGCGACCCCCATGCACTTACAACATAAGCTCGTTCGGCTTCACAAATTTGCAAGATTAACACACTGCAGTGCATACTTTTAAAGAAAAAAAATTGTAGCGCATAGTTCCAAATACACATCTGAGTTTTATATTTAGACTTTGTGCGTTTAGTATCTTTATGTGTTTGATGCCTTCTGCTATCTTCTGCGTTTAGTATTTCTAAACATTTAGTATTTGACGTCATGGAGTCGTAACGAACCGAACGTACCGAACATTGTAAAGCACCGGAGACTATACAAACCATCTCGTTGATGGACTGCGAGCAAATACTAATGCATCTTATCTTGCCTTTTGAATCTCTGCTCAGAACTTTTTGAATGCATGGATAGCTGGTGTTAGTGGTCACGCTAATCAGCGCTTGTTGCGTGAGCCCTGACCCCGTCACCCGATCGTGAAATCCCAGGTGAGCGACAAAGTTTGGTGACAAAAGTATAACGTGCCGCAATGCTCAGTGCGGTAAATACAAACACCAGATTGCCAAAATTTGGACTACTTGGAAGGCGGAGTCAGCGTCAGCACAAGTTGTGTTTGCCGAGAACATGGTTCAAACACAACTGCAGCGAATAGTTTGAATTTAAATTAAAAAAGGAATGCAACGGGTGCCGAGCGTCGGACTTACGCAGCGTGTAGCAAGTGAAATGAAGTAGTGGCAGAAGTGTTCTATCACATCCAACACGATGCCATCTCGGCTTAGGCGATGTCTCGGACGGCTGCGGTTGGTGAAGCAGTCACCGTTTGGGTTTTACTTTTGCCCATGAGAAGCCGTAATTTAAGGAATTACACCTCCTTTTGAAACATACGCTATGCGCTAAGGCCTCGTTTGTGGTACAGCCTTCACCGCAGGAGTCATTGACTCATCTATTTAATTGATGTGCACTCACGACGTATTTCCCTTGGATAATGGTTCAGACTGAGAGGCTAGCTGGCGAGCATTGCGCATGAGAGCTCTCTACAAATTAGATGCCTTTGATTGGCCGCCATCGTCCGCAATGGCTGCAAAGTTTATTTTCTTGTAACGATCAGCGCGATTGCTTTTGCGTCAGCCAATCAGTGCGGTCTGTTCAGCGGTGGCAGCTCAGGGCGGAGCGAGCCTCACGGATACCGACTCAATTGAAGCTGGCAGACGGAGGTAAGCGGAACGCCAGTACTGCCGCACCTTGCTGCCGCGCCGAACACTCGAGGCACGTTTTCATTGCATTACGGCTGAAGGCCTTGCAGACTTGTTTCATTTGGAGGCATTCACTTGTGATGGATTTGTCGCAGACCGGGGATCAGGTATGGATGCGGAGCTATTCGCTGTGCCACGTGATGAGCCATGATTCCAAGCAAGTTATGTGGCAATCAGTACCAGTCCGCAGTAGATCACCAGCGGGGAGGCATCTGATGAGCAGGCACGCATGGTGTGCGCACGATGGATCGAATGGAAAAAGTCGACGGGGACAAAAGTCAGACCAGAAAAAAGTTAATGGACATAAACTCAAAAGCAACAAAAGTCAACAGGGATAAAAATGAATCGGAAAAAATCGGACGACAAAAAGTGGAAAGTCGAATTGGAAGCTCAATTAAAAGAGTTCAGGGACTAAAAGTTGACAGAGTTAAGTCGAAATCAAAGAATCGATAGATGAAAATTCCAAAGGGGCAAAGCCGGCAGGGAATCCACGAGGCACTACTAAGTGCTTACTATGACATGTTCATTATCACAAGCAGAGATTAAAACGCCGAGTGCTCACAATGTAACCCATGTTTACACTATGACGTCGTTTAACCTTACCTCCCGGTGTATTAAAGACAGGTAACCCGGCACAGGCCTGGGAACTCTGAACTCATCATGCCGAACACAGGGGTGTAGTATCCTATTCAGTTGGGCGAAAGGGCTGAACCCTCCTTATCCCAACCTTGGGCTTTGGAAAGGAACTGGGTCGTATCCGGGAAGGTCCTTTTATTGGCGTGATTGTTTCGTTTTCCCGTGCTCAGCTCCCCAACCTAAATTGAACAACTACTTCCCCTGGCCGAATATCCGGCAACTGAAGTTCTGGTTAGCTGAGATTTAACGGACCGAAAATGATCCTTCAATTTGAGGCACCACCAACACCACCAAACGCGAAACATTCCCTTTATAGGGAGTGTTGGACGTTTGCATAGGCTTGTGAGCTGAAAAAGCCACCTTGAAGATCAGCCGGTGCAGTTCGCAGCCCTGTCCTTCTTAAGATCAACTCTCCTAGTTTTTGAGCTACAAACCCGCAAAAATGTGAAGACTTTTTCAAGGAGACTATTTCAACGTCACCCAGTCATCCATGGTGTCCTAATATCGTCATTTAAATCTTTCAGTTCCATTAGCCATGTGCAAGCCAACTCCTAGACAAATGTGATTGTCGATTCGTTCATATCTGGCGTTCGTGTGCGCGATCTCCAGACATAACGACCGTCAGTTGGCTTTCAATCAATGTTATGCATGGAATGATGACGTAATTAAACAATGACATATTGAGGAGAATACTTAGTTAACAGTGAAAGTGTGTCGTGTAGAGCAGTCTTTTCCGCTTAAAAATATACGAGCGATCATAAGTGACCTTATTTCGGCATATCTGATGCTTTCTTCAATATTTTCAAAGATGGAACATTTCCATTAAGTTGTGTTGGCCCGAGCTATCTTTTGCACCTAAATGCAAACAACAGTTGCAAGCAGGCTAATTCCGTTATTTATGATGCTTGCCCCAGTACCTCAAGTGTGAAACACTCCCTTTAACAACTTCACACATTTCTCTTCCGCCGCAGATTTTGAAGAAAACCAATAACATTTTTGAGCTCATTTCCATCGACGCACCATCCCAGCTGAACAGCATGAGCACCAATGGGAAGGACGGTCTGCACCCAGAAGTTGACGATGCGACCATGATCAGGGAGAAGAACCTCCGCCTGAAAGGTTGGCTGGGAGGACCTGTGCGCTTGCCAGCGCTCGCGCTCGCGTTTAGCGCGACGCTGAGAAGGAGGAGTGGGCATTTGCGTTTGCTAATGTTAGATAGCGGTACTTGGTTGCTGGGCGCAGAAAAGTTCATTTCTTCCAAGTTGCAATTCAGCAGTATTTCATTTAAACTCTGGGCTTCCCCGTCCCAGTCCAATCAGCCTTTGCATGAATAGGGTGGTCGCGCTGGGAGGCCGTCACTAAGCACAAAAGCTGCCTCCAGTCCAGCCTGATCCCCTCCACCTGATTTCCATGTGACACGGTGTTGGAGAGGTCGGCCGCAGCCGCGAGACTGGACTGTGAGTCATGCCCGAGTCATGTGAGTGATGCCCGAGCTCGACCTGCCTTCAGGTCAGATGATGTACTTCGACGATTGGAAGATGATCCTGTTTCTGGGCACGCCGGTCATGCCCGACCTGGAGGCCATGATCCATACGGGGCTGTTCATCAACGACCTCTCCATGCACGACTTCAGCAGGTGAGTGACCGGCTGTCACCGCCCCCCCCCCCCCCTTCCCCTTCCTCTGGCGGGCTGTTAAGGCCGTGTGGCAGTGAGCGAACGCAATGCTCGTCGGCACACTGTCAATGGCGCGCTCGCCATCTGTCAGCCTGGCGAGGCGCGGTGTCTATCTGCCTGTTCGCAGATCGCAGACTTCCAGCCATTCTGACACCGCGCGACCGACAGTGGCACGATGCAGCGAAAAAGAGGCGAGGGCTTCAGAATATTGACATCGCGCTTGACACACTGCACAAACTTGGTGTTGTTCACTTTGGGATGAAATAAGGAGCCAGACAGATGATGTTTGGTCCAACAGCATGATCAAAAGGCGTTGCGTTTATGGTGTTGGTCTGACATCTCAGAGCAGTGGTGAGAGTCGAGAGTTAAGCAGAACGTGCATGGCGCGCTGGCATCGTCGGGATGATGGACATCCTCGATTATCGAATGCGGCAAAACCACGGACACGGTTTCTTCAGCTATTTTGTATCATTCTGTAGGTACATAAATTGTTTATCCCCGTGTGCCATCAAACCTTATCACACATGCGGCCTTGAACACAAACAGCAGCAATGCCGAATCCTTTTCGTTGTTGATGCCTGCAGCACTGCGAATAAATTGCAGGATTTCACGCATCCTGTGAGCGGCCAACATCCTTTCCTCATTTAGACCGCGCCCAAGCCGCGCGAATGGCAGCACACTCATACCCCACTGTGCGACGGGGCTTCAGATTTCCCTACGCACTCGCGCGACAGCCGGACGTGAGTGGAGGGGCGGTCCGCTGGGGCACTTCGCCTCACAACGTAGGCGACGCGCACTGCATATCCGCCCGCCCGCGGACGATCTCGCGCCGTGAATACCGATCAGGGAGCGGGGTGGGAACCCGGCGTTAGTTCCGCCTCCTGCCGCCAGGGATCTGATGCTGGCCGGCACGCAGCAGTCGATCGAGCTGAAGCTGGCGCTCGACCAGGAGCAGCTCAAGTCCAAGAAGCTGGAGGAGTCGATGCGCAAGCTGGACGAGGAGATGCGCCGCACGGACGAGCTGCTGTACCAGATGATTCCCAAGGAGGTGGCCAACCGCCTGCGGAAGGGCGAGAACCCGGTGGACACGTGTGAGGTAACGCCCTGGAGTCCTCGAGAACACTGATTTCCGTGAACAGTTCCTCCCTCGGTACAGTTGTATTAAGCAAATTTCAACCAATATCTCTGTTTTGTGGAAATGCGAAAGCGTTTCCAGTCATCGATTTCCTTCAAAATGAAGGACAGTGATTTGTAATACCCTTCCAGCACTATCTCCACCCGATTAATGCAGACATGGAAAGGACTTATCTAAGTTCATAATTTTACTTTTCTAATGCTTCGGAGCTGCGGTGTTGTCGTCGGTTTTTGTCGCCTGGGCTCGCCCTTGTGGTGCTGATAATGATCCAATCCCCGGCAGCGTTTTTAGAAACCGACGAAGGTGAAGGTCATTTAAAGTCAAAGGAGAGCCGTTTTGTTTTCGGGGTGCCATTGAACAGTGGAGATACCCCTCGTTCTTCTTAAAAATAAACTCCACATGTCACTTCGAAGCCTGTTTTGATGTATTTAAGTAAACGTGAAAAGCTTAGCATTGATTTATTTCCTAATGCCACATTAGGCATGTCCCCCTGCAGATGGCGATCCATGCATGATGCCTAGCGTATTTTGAAGATCAAAAACAAGTTGGTCTCTATTTCAATATCCATGCTTACGAAACCCAGATGTTGCCTTATTGATCCTATTCTGATGCGATAACCGTTTTGAGAAACAAAATTATTCCAACAAATATATTTATGCCATGTTTCCACAACTCCCCCCCAGGGATACCGACCAATCCCCAGCGAGACAGAGCTGTTTTCTGTGGTGTTTACGAAACCATCACGAAAAAGTAATGTGACGCATGCCACTTCGGACACCGCTAACGCGGTTACCACCATGCTCTAACCATGGGACACCAACTACGTCATCTCTTTCGAGTCTCCCAGCAACTGCCATGCACGCGAGCGGAAGTTTTCTTCTTCATGCAAAGGGACTTGCCCTTGCTGCAAGTTGAAGAGCGTGTTGGTTGCTTAAACACCTTCTTCCGGGCCAATGTCGGGTGCCTCCGTCGACTACGGGTTATTGTAGCATTGGATGTCCGGTCCTGTCGCCGTGTCGCGAATTTTGGGCACAGGACCCGGCAAATATTATCGAGAAATCGAGGAGCAGTAGCTCCACAGGTGCCAGTCGTCTCAGGATGCCTTGCATGACGCGTCCTTGGAAGCAGGGCTGTTTACCTGTGTAAATTGTTGCAATGAATGACGTAAGTAATGAATGACGTCCGACGCGCGCCAGTCTCATTCCGATGTGAAACGCCGGGCCCGCACATGCCACCCGCGCCGCAGGTGTTCGACAGCGTCACCATCATCTTCTCTGACGTGGTCACCTTCACCGAGATCTGCAGCCGGCTCTCACCCATGCAGGTGGTCTCCATGCTGAACTCCATGTACTCCATCTTCGACCAGCTGACGGAGCTCAACGAAGTCTACAAGGTACCGTAGCCCGCGGGTGGCGGCTGGCGTCCGGTCGCTGATAATGTACGCTCGCAGCGCGGCACTGTTGTCGCTCGGGGCAGTCTACTTTGGCCTCTCTTGGCTCCTCAAAGGTTTGCTGATCTCGCCTGTTCGTTGGACGGAGCCCATGCATCCTGATGAGCTTCATTAAGTTTCCTCAGCTTAGCACTATTGCTGAAAGCGTAATCCCCAGCCTCAGAGGGGAATTTCGGCACAATGAAAGATAACTAAGGTCGTCAGCATTCACTTGGATGGCGGGCATGGCATGAATAGGTGGGGAGAATGACGGAGATCTGTCCAAAATCTCCCACTCTGCTGTCGTCATCTCTACGGAGTTTTTCTCCGAGTACTGCAGAACTGGGCTGGAGATAGAGGAGAAAGCCAGGAACGTCCTTTTGATCAACTCGTCACAGTTTGTTACATCGGTAATTTTAAGCTACAGGTTCCGCACCCGATGTGACAGAACGAAAGCTAAAAAATGTAGAGGTGCCCACGCACATGAACTAAGACCTTTTCTCACGTCATTTTGCGATGTGTATTATGGCTGCCTCGTCAAGTGTAGTCAGACTGCGCCCAACGACGTTTTTATCCGTTCCACGTAGCTTTGCATATGGGTCTAAGACGGCATGCAGACTTGTGAAAACCACTGACGAACGGGAGACCGGAAGACGCCTCCAAAAATATCTCCCACGCTCCTTGACCGAACTGTTTTTTTTTTATTCGGCACGTGAAACTGCGCACCCAATAATGTGTGATCAAAATTCAGGACGGTCAGTATCCACGTTTTTGTGTTAAGGCGAACTACGAAGAGTCGGCTGGAAGTTCCCGTCTTCAATCCAAAAGTCAAACACAAAAGTAGAGATCCAAACTGTACAAGTTCATTACGGGGACGATTTGTGGCCGACCGGGCCCATTTTAAGCAGAGGGTGCACGCACACAGTTGAGTTCAAGCAGTATTATGACCCGGCCGAATGGGTCGATGCTCAACTTACAGAACATTTCAACTCCGCCTTCGGTTCGCTCAAACTCACGCGGACTGCGGCCGTCCTGGCAGGATTAATGGTTGCATGATTAATGGTAGCATAGTCATAGTTGCCATCACCGGATTCCGACTTGGGGCGCGAGCATTGTGTGCATATGTCTTCATCCGACAGCCTCACGCTGCTTTTGCTATGGACCGGGACGTGTCTGGGAGATACAAAACCCGGTAGTACTAGGGCCTGTGGAATGTTACAACGCCAGCGACCCAGCACGATCCCGTAAGTGAATCATCTTACACCAGCTTCGATCAAACCAACGGCATCGGGTCCGGACCTGGCGCAGCAGAACAGGCTCTGCCATTTCTCTACAATGAGATCCTGAATACCCGGCCCGGGTCTACCCCGCCCTGGAGAAGGCCTGGCCCACCCCGTCCTGACCGAAGTCTGGTCCACTCTGACCTAGGCTTGGCTCGTCCTGGCAGAGGCCCGACCGGCCAGGCACTGACCGAGGCCCGGCCCGTCCTGGCCCGTACTGGTCGGGCCTGGACCCGCCCCGCCCGCCCCGCCCGGCCCGGCCCGGCCCGGCCGGTCCGGCCCGTCACGCGGTGTCTGCGTTCCTAGGTCGAGACGATCGGCGACGCCTACATGGTGGTGGCCGGTGCGCCCGAGAAACGCGATAACCACGCCGAGCGTATCTGCGACATGGCGCTCGACATGGTGGAGGGCATCACAGGCCTGACGGATCCGTCCACAGGTGCGTGGCCGGCGGCAGACGGCGTGATAAACACGCGCTCATCACGTGTCTCACGAGCATGTACACATGTGTGTGTGGCCGGCGGCAGGCGGTATGGTAAATGCGCGGTAATTATGGATCTCACCAGCCTGTACACCGGTGCGTGATGGAAGATTTTTTTTCCTTCCATTTACAAGTCTTGTGTGTTAGCATATGTACAGCACTTCGGTCAACTAGGTCTCCCGCCGTCGTCAGATGTTTTTTGGTCCCGAGAATGACTGGCTGGTTTGGGCTTTCAGCCATGTACGCGCCGCAGCGTTAAAAAGTGGCGCGGTGTATTGGGATGACAGGGGGGGGGGGGGGGGGGCAGCACTGCTTTTTTTGTAAAGGATAGTCACGACTGCTGTGAAAATGTATCCCAGTCACAAAGCTGAATGGAACAGCTTCAATATCGCATGGAGCGGAAGCCGGGGTCACAAGTTAAAACCTGTGTGTGTTAGGAAACAAAACTTAAAAGTCCAAGTTAAAGAGCCGAAGTCAAAGCCGAAGGCAGCGTTTTAAAATGTTACCAAACTTAAAGCCCAGGACCACGCCAACTGCTCAAAATCACGCGAAGCCGAAGCCAGCCGTGAAAATAGCCCAAATTCGAAGCCGAATCCGAAGCCACTGGAGGACAGCTGCGGCTTCGCGAAGTCAAAGCCGAGGAGGGAACCAGTGTCCTCCCACGCTTGATGAATTCGTCCACGGCATCGCGTCGGTGCGCGCGTCCCGTCCGTCTGACAGGAACACCGAACATCTGTCTGTACGTAGTGGCGATCACGCTAGACGCGTGTCTGCCGGTTACGTTGGGGCCACCGGCTTGCATGGGTCACACTGCAAGCCGCCAGTCTGTGGCTCACCCCGACCCGCTGAGGTCCGTCCCTCGGAGTTAAATTTTTATGTCTGTCGGGCAACACCAGGGCTCCGTGCTCCGCGATGATGTCACATGTCACTTGCCACATGTTGAATGTCACATGTCACATGTCAATGCCGTGATATCCGAGATCAGCGCATCCGACGCTTCAAGAAGAACGTTGTAAGTCCAGGTAGGGCGACAGGTCAAGCCAACTGATTCAGCCCTGGAGGAGGACGAAGCCATGGCGGAGTTAGAGGTGACCATGTTGCACAGTTCTTTGCATGTTACGCGGCCAAAAGCAGAATCTTCCATCACGCTGTTAATATGCAATTGAGAGCTGCCCATTTTCCCGACGCCCACGATCGTCAGCATCTGCTGGCACTTTATGGACGCTGTTGTGTACACAACCGCGGCTGGCCGCGCTCACTTCGCCTCTCGGTCAAGTTCCGAAAGGGCTGCGGTAATGACGTCACAGGCTAGCCAGAGAACTACGGGACAGGTCGTAATGGGCTTACCCATCCGAACTGCTTTCAATCCGAAGTAGTGAAACGGCTTCCAGCTACCGACGGGGAACGGTGCCTAACGTTTCAAATGCAGTGGCCGGGTCACAACGGACGCGCGCGGTGCGGTGGGTAGGAGTTGCAGCGTCGGGGACGTCGCTCGTGGCCGAGGCCACCGTCAGAGCTGATCATCGGACCCGGTCCCAGAAAGGGGTCCAGACGGGCCGACCGCCGCGGCCGCCTGGCGTGCATCGACCGCTCAGGATCACGAGTCAATCACGGTTGCTGCGGTTATTAGTAGTGCACGCCTCTCACGGCACGACCAACGGCTGCGCTTCCCCGGGCCGTCATTCATTTGGGCCTGGGCTCCACGCGGCGCCCGGGCCTGGCGAAGAGACCACACGCCGGATTACGTCATTGGTCCGGCCGGAGCTTATGACGGCTCACACGGCGCCTGGACGAGGAAACTACACGCCAGATTACGTCACTGGGTCCAGCCGAAGCTTATGACAATTCACACAGGCGCCCTGACCTGGGCGAGCAAACCACGCTCCGGTTTACATCACTGGGCCCGGCCGAAGCTCCGCCAGGGTTTACTACGACTCTATCCACGCGGCAGCCGGGCCTTGGTGAGCAGAACGCGCACAGGCTGACGTCACTGGGCCTGGGCAGAGTTTATTACGACTCTATCCACGCGGCAGCCGGACCTTGGTGATCAGAGCGCGCACCGGCTGATATCACTGGGTCTGGCCCGAGCTTGAGAAGCGACGACGCATGTTCGCTGAAGGTTCCGTGTAAGTGGTAAGTGACGTACCATGCGTGATAGGACCAGCTGAGAAGAATTAAAGGAAGGTGACGGCGGGGAAGCGACCCGCTTCCCATCCTGAAAATAAAAGACATGACCCGCGTGGTGTTGCATGGTTGGGAAGTTTGCGACCTATCTTTATCCCTCCCCGCTCCGTTTCGAGCGTGCCGCGGACTTTAATAAGCTGCGGCCTGAAGCATTGCCAAATATTGCTTTCCTGCCCACATCCCCGACGTCGCGCGACGTTAACAAATGTCTTTTGGCTCATGTGTGCGTGCAATTAAGCTCCGATAGCTACTTGGTTGCTAGAAATTGGATTGTGACTTAAATGCTTTTTTAAGCCATCAATGGCCGTATGATCTCATTCTGACTGAATGTCCGGTTTTATCATGGCAGACGAGGGCGTTTAGGGGGCTGAAGAGGGGCTTATTGCTCGGGGAGCCCAGTTCGTGACGCGGCGAGCCCTCAGCACCATAGCGACTGCTATTGAAGACGATATCGTAAAATGAGGCCATGATTGTACTCATTCCGCCCATTAATTTGTATTGCCGAATTTTCTGCATCAGCAGAGCTCCAGCCAACGATATCCTCTAACGGTCGCCGCCTGCAATAACGTCCGAGCCATGCGACTGGTCGTTAACATGGCACTTGCGCGTGAGTGGTGCCAATCATTCACTCGATCGCGCTCTGCTCGGAAGTGGAAGGTCTGGCGAGCTTAGAATGCCAGCCAGCATGGCAGCAGAAGTCCGGCCGATGACAAGCCCGCGCGCGTGCCCCGGGAAATACGGGACATCACGCTCAATGGCGGCCGATTCCCTCAGGAGTTGCAGACACACGAAGCGTTTGTTTCTTTATATGCATCGACGTAGGTGTATGCTCCATTTTTCCCAGCATCAGGATCTTACTGCTGCCCCGTCTAAACAACTACACCTACGCACACACCACAAAGACCAAAAGGACCGAAAAGCCCAGTTCGTATGAAACACATCATTGCCTGTGGGTGCCGTTTTCACGCTAGCATTGCACTGTCGCACCCGCGAGTTAATTCACCATGAACTGTTCTCTGCAGCTGGGTGCGTCGGTCCGCCGCCCGACTCGCTGATGACCAGTGGCCACCGTCTTCAGGTAACCATATCCAGATCCGAGTGGGCGTGCACTCCGGCACGGTGGTGGCCGGCGTGGTGGGGCTGAAGATGCCGCGCTACTGCCTGTTCGGCGACACGGTCAACACAGGTGAGAGTGGCGACGGCCGAGCGGCCCGCCTCCGACCTCGACGGCTGAGCAGCGCACCTCCGATCTCCTCGACGGCCGAGCGGCCCACCTCTGACCTCCTCGACGGCCGAGCGGCCCACCTCCGACTCCACGTCAGCCGAGACTCGCGCACCTCTGACCCCCCCCCCCCCTCCCCGACGGCCGAGCGGCCTATTTCCAACCTCCCCGCCTGGGCGGCCGGGGGAATTTCCTGGCGCCATTCAGACATATGACTTATTATGTGCATGTGTTCGCTGAGTGAATGGAGGCACGGTCCACGCAGGACAAGCTGGGAGCAAGTGTCCCTGACAGCGTGCCTCTTACAGGGGGAGTGAGAGCGCCTCTTACAGAGGTAGTGAGAGCGCCCCTTACAGAGGGAGTGAGAGTGTCTCTTACAGGGGGAGTGAGAGTGCCTCTTACAGGGGAAGTGAGAGTGCCTCTTACAGAAGGAGTGAGAGTGGTGTGGAGCATACGGGGCCAGGCGTGTCGGTAGAGATCCGAGGGTGTGGTTGAGAAGGATCACAAAATGTCAGTGAGAGTGGTCAGTTTGATAATCTGACGGCGAGATTGTTGGAAGGAGTGTTTTTTTTTTCACGCTGCGCCCTCCAGTAATAAGCCCCCTGGAGACTTCACAAGGGCCCTTTGACTTGATATATTACTTAAGTAGAGAAATCGAGCAAATTGGAATTTAAGCTATCATTGCCTTACTTCCTCCTTCCAAGTCCACTCCGGTGACTACCTTTATCTACCCTTGCGATCTCTCCGCGTGAATCATTGAGTGCGTGGTCGACAGAGGTAATAGCTTTCATTTCAGCAAACAGATATTGACCCCATCACCGTAACCATGGAGCAGTGCCACGATAACGCAAGTATATGGTGATCTTATCCTCTCGTAATGTCTTGTACAAACGCAATACAATATTCTCATTGCGTGTGGTGAAAGGCCTTTCGTGATATACCTGGCGATGACTAGATCCTGTTATCAGAATGATCGTCTTCATAGCGTGTAGTAGTAGGTAATTAATAATAAAATAAAATAAAAAGGAGGTAATCTGTCAACGCCAAGGGTATAGATTCGTAAGCGGATTGAGGCGTGGCAGCCCCCCCCCCCCCCCCACAGCTCCCCCGGGCCCTAAAGTTCATCGCCAGCCGCCTCACCTTTGAAAGCAAAGTGCATTAAGTTCGTAAAGGAATTGTCTTTCGCATGCTTTTAACGTGGTTTACCTCGCTGAGCCTCATCCCAGCCGATTTTAAAAAACTCCGGGCCTTGTAAATATATAACTGTAAAAAGACAGCGGATTGTCCAGGTTTGCAACCCATGAATCGAATCGCGCGGTAGAAAGCGGAAAGCTCAGTCATGAGCGTGTTCGCGTTCCCGTGGAAGATCTGGGTTCGATTCTCACCTGGCGCTGCGGCCCAGGGGCGCTGACCTGGCCACTGCAATCGCTCGTGCTCCCTAGAGCGCGGCGTGACGACACGCGCCGTTCAATCATTCCTTCCTGGCGATTTCGGATTAAAACAATATGTCAGGCCTTGCAAGCTTGATGGCCAGGAAAAGTCAGCAAGTCTTTTTGGTCTACATGGGACCGTTTCGCGATGAGATTGGAAAAACCGGAGGAAGACCACATCAACCTCGGTGAAAATCAGATTAAGTGGTCTCCCTCATCACCGGTGAGCTCCATAAAGCACTCACCCCTGGTTAAAATAAAAGTGAACGATCTGAAACGTTGGAAATATATCTGCGCCGACTTGGTGCGTATCTATATTGACTAAATAAGCGTGGCTCTATGGATTATTGACTATATAGACTTGGCGCGTAGGTAAACCACGAAATGAATTCCGGCCGAAAATAAAGGCCGACGGAGCTTGCCAGCGTTAATCTATTCCACTTAGGACGGTTGCGCTAAGACGCAGGTGTAAATGTGACGGCTGTCTGCGGATAAACAGACCAATGCATCTAGCACAATGATAATCCAACAGCGCAGCAAATCAATGTGCATAAATATGCCAACACCAAAATCTGAATTGCCTGATAAACATGGTCATGTGTTTATTTAGAACTTTTGTACCGCGCATTGAGAACGAATCCGTATGCTTCCGTTCCCTAGTTTTGGTTTCCCTCATTAGTTTTCGTCGCCGCACTGTTACGCATATCCGATCACTTGTTTCGCCGGGCCTCTCCGGCGAAGCAAGCACAATTTGAAAGAAACTTCGCTGCGTTACAAACCCCCGGCTCGTGATAGATGGACCATATCCGATATGCTCCACGTGCAAAACATATTCCAGAGGCTACATCGAGTTTCTTCTGAATTCTCAATTCTCCGGCCTCGTCCATCATCAGGAGTTTATTTCCAAACCGCCATGCATCGTCTGTTCACTAACCCCACCCGCCTAAGCTCTTGAAAGCACTAAGCAGCTCGCTACGATTCCAGAAGTGATCGCGGTGACTGGCGACAGCGCTGCCATTCCAGGAGTGGTCGTGCCGACTAACAAAAACTTCGCCCATGCATCTCGAATTACGAAAAAGCTAGGCTGAACATACAAAACTTCGCGAAATAGCATGTGCACAAACTCAACGGTTTGAAAAGCTTGCACGCTGGTCCACGAGTATATATTTTGACCTTCATTAAAACGGTCCGCTATGACTGACATTGAACTTAAGTCTGAAATACTTCAGGCAGTTGTGTATGCCCATCTGACCTTTTCAGGCTTAACCCTACGCCGACGATTACGCCTAGGCTTAACGTTATTCGCCTAGAAATTTTTAGTCAGATCGTGAGAGCCCTGAATATCGATGTACATCTTGATATAAACTGACGGCTAGTTTTACACGCGGTCTAAAACTGGCTTAGGCTAGGCCGGGCATGTCATAGCACCCAAGTTCTCGTCGCGCTGCCAGGCCATGGTTCTAATGGGTTAATCAAAGTAAAATGTTGCCAAAGTTGATTATGGATATGCATGCTACCATCAAAATCCCAGCGCAAATTTCGACGGTTGCATGGGTGATTTTAGGTCTACATGGGCCGCCGGCTACTATATCCGTTTAAAATGTATCGCAAGAAACGTCGTTTGATCACCATCTGAAATAACGATTTAAAAAATAAAAGTCATAGCGAGTTCTAAAGCTGGTTAAGTGGTGCCCAAAATGCCTTCAAAGAAACACCACCACTGAATGATTCAAACGCAACCCATTGACCAACAGTGGCAGTTTCGACCCGACCGAACTTGCTCCTCACTGTTTAGCTCCTCACTGTGGATTGCACTTGGGGCGTACCATCAAATTTACTAACCCTAATCTTTGTAAAAGAATGTTAGTAGCGTGTGTCTCAGTGACAGTTGTTGAAATTGATATAAACATATATATATATATATTATATATATACATATATGTACATTATGTTTTGTTGCATTCATCATATTGCAGTACACTCCCTGCCACCAAGTCTCCAAGAAAATTTTTGTTCCACTGGGCTCCCATACATTTTTGTATCCCTTTTCTTTTTAACCGTGTTAGTAAGTCATCGCACTCCCTAACTGTGCCACCTCCGCAGCCCAGTGCATGCACATTTACTTTGATCAGAAAGCCAAAGGGAGGTGGACCGTAAATCACCTTCTCTGATATCGTGCCCCTCATCAAATAGCGTCCGTGCGTCAGTGACGTCAACGTCATAATAGCCTCCTTCCAGAAAGGATTTAAGATGACCCCCCAGCAACTATTCTGAGAGAGTGCGTACTTCTTTTCTGCATGTAAAATTTACTGATCCATTTCAGTGTGAAAATTTTGACCATTTTTGCCTCGAATGTGTCATGTCGCCTTATCCATGCAAGTTTTAAAGCGGCAATGTGAGATTGCGCATCTGTCGTGCTCATACCTCCTTGAGCCTTGGGTCTAATCATTTCTCTCTGCTTGATTGTGCCACACTTGCTGACCCACAGAAATCGATGCAGCATCGTACTTAAATCTCTTAGGGAATCCAGCAAGGGTGAGGGTGAGGAAATCCAGCAAAGGCGGAGTGGGGGGGGGGTGGGGGGGGGAACGAGGCAAACAGATATGTAATCTTATGCAACAGCAAACATTTTCTTTCATTTGACGTCCTACTTGTGTGCAATGTGCAGTGCGAGAACACATTTCAGCTTGCGTTTTGTCTTCAATACGGTCGAGATATTGACAACTGCCGTGCCTCACATGGCTGTGTGTAACCCACCGATTGCCTTACAGTATTTTCTCCAACTGTCTCTTGACAGATGCCTTCTGCTTTAGAGTTTTTGGGGAGGGC